CTCTTCTCCTCCTCCTCTCTCCCGTCACCACTCCTCCAGCTCCGCCCACCTCGATCCTCCCCCCCCGCCGTGTTCCTCCCCCTCCCACACGTCAGGCCTCCTTCCCCCATCCTCCCCCACTGCTCCTCCCTCCTCTCCCCCTCGCTCCCGCTCCTTGAGGCCCCTCGCTCCCAGCTCTGGCGAGCACGGCGGCCGCCGGCCTGCATCGCGACCAGATTACCACTCGCGTCCACAGGGAAGGACGCGACCACCTGGCAAAGTGGGCGGGTTTTGTTTCCTGCGATGACTATCGGGCCCCCTTCCACCTGTAGCGTACGCATTACTTGAAATATTATTCGCATCACAATTCGTATCATTATCCGTATTCGTATTATTTGTATCGTTAATCATCGCGTCAGTGTTCTTAATGAAGACTAGCACGATCGGTGTTATCATTCGTACTTGTTCTACTATCTGTAATATCACGATACTTAAATGCTTTTTTCGTATGGGTATTCGTCTCGCTGTTATTACGAGTCATATTCGTATTAGTGTTATTGTTACTATTCGTCTGTTGCTTCCTCGTCGTCTGATTATATGTAGTCGTGCGGTTATGATAAGAATGTGCGTCTGTGGTTTTTTTTACGGGTATTCTCGCTCGCGTGCGCAATCGTATCCTTGCTCGTTCTGTGAATCTGGTTCGTCAGTTTCTTTTCACGAGTGTCCGTATGTGAACTGTCCATTCGCGCGGAGGAGGAGAAAGAGGAGGAGGAGGAGAAAGAGGAGGAGAAAGAGGAGGAGGAGGAGGAGGAGGAGGTCGAGCCCCGTCCAGATTTCGGCCACGTTGCGAGCATGTCGGGGAGGAGGAGGAGGAGGAGGAGGAGGAGGAGCAGGAGGAGGAGAAAGAGGGGGAGGAGGTCGAGCGACGAATTATTCCTCCGTTCGCGCGCTGTCCACCAACGGCTCCAGCCGCCGCGAGCTCTCCCCGGCAGACCGGGGAAGCGGCCGAGAATCCGCACAAAAAAGGCGCGGGGGCCGGCGACCCGGCGACCGCTGCCTGCCACCCGGGCTGGTGGCGTCGGAGCCGCACTCCTCGCCGACCAGCCATGACTGGGGGAGCTGTGGTCCTTACCCCCCTTGGGGGGGCCATCGATTTCGACCACCCCTCGCGAGAGATCGTCGATGCGATGGACTCCGCACAAAAAGGGCGTGGGGGCCGGCGCCGGCGGCCCGCCTGCCACCCGGGCTGGTGGCGTCGGAGCCGCACTCCTTGCCGACCAGCCATACAGTCGGGGCGTTGACCTGAGGAACCCTAGATAAGGAGCGAGGCCCATGTCTTCGTTAAGTTTAGCTTCGCTTTCCGATGGAGAAAGCCGAAGGTAGACCTAAGGCAAACGATAAAACAACGAAGGAACACGGAGCCCCTCCCAAACGAAAAGGGTTCCTTCTTCAGCGCCCCGACTGTAACTGGGGGAGCTGTGGTCCTTACACTCCTGGGGGAACCCATCGCATCGACGATTTCTCGCGAGGGGTGGTCGAAAGCGATGGCCCCCCCCAAGGGGGGTTAAGGACCACAGCTCCCCCAGTTGTGGCTGGCCTGCCTTGCCCTTCTCCCTCGTCTCTCCCACTATCTTCAGGAGGCCACGCATCGAAAGATGAACGCATCTTGAGTCCGATGCCTGCGCAAGCTGGCTGGCACAACGCGCTCGTGACCGGCGTCGATCTGGGCAGTCTTGGGCAGTGCTCCCGCACTGCTTCTGCACGAAGCTCGGCTGCGTGCCAGCAGCTGGCCGGCTCATGCTCGTCTAACTTGGGGAACGTACGATGAGTATATTGATAAGGAGCCACGCGTCCCACAAGCCACCTGCTCAAAGGCCCTTCGGGAGGCCGTAGAAGTGGGGCATGAGGCTTCCTCCGCCCAGCAAAGGTCTGGCCACTGGGGCCAGCTTGAAGCGGGCCCAAAACTAGCGGGGAGAAACTGGAGCCTTGCCAGCTCTGTGCAGCTGTCCCTAGAGGAACACCGAGCAATGATCCTCTCCTCATTCCCGTGCTTGGGGTGCTTGCTCTGCAGAAATCGGCGCAATATGTGCTGTGCCGTCTCGTTGCGCTTCCACCCAGGGGGCCCCGAACTGGGGCAGACGTTGCCGAAGCCCAGTGGTTTCGTGGAAGCGTACTGGCAGCACCTCTTGCAGAACAACAGGGTGTCACCCACCTCGGCCTCGGGCCGCGGGGTGAGCTCACGCCATTCAATATCGTGTGTGTGTGTGTGGGCAAATTCGGTCACGCACTGGAAGCTGGGCGGCGCATCGCTCTGCCTGCAGTCCCGCTGGTCCAAGGAACTGTGGGGGGTCACCTCGAGACCTCGAGCGTAGCTTGCACTGCCAGCGGGAGGGTCCGACCTGGATAAAATCGTGGGCGACTTTGCAGACGGGGGGACCTTGGGGAACTGTGCCCGTCGGAGGTCCTTCCATTCGATTCGGGGCGCTGGCCCGGAAGCAAGGGCGCGAGCAGCAGCTGCGACGATTTTCGAGACCCGCGCAATCTGGTCTTCGAGATGGGCCAAAGTGGGGCCGTGGATATTGTGCAGCTTGCAGGCCGACGCGGTGGCAGCCTGGTCAGCCCGGTCATTTGACCGAGCCCTCCATTCAGCGAGAGACGCAGGGTTCCCAGGGACCTCAACATGGGCCTTGTGCTCGTGGAGCCCTTTCAAGGCGGCGTCTTGCTCTAGCAGCCCCCTCCCAGAGGCCGGCGAAACGACTTCCGGGGATCGCTCCTGTCGCAACTCCGGCACGGGCAGTTGAGGGGGCCGCCGAGCAATCCCCAGCGTAGTCACAGAAGCCATCACTGAATCTGGCCCCTCCCGCAAAAGCACGGCGCTCTGCCTCCGCGGGCGTCTGGGCCGAGGTGGGCGGGGGGGGGCGCTAGAAGACGGCGGGGCTTGCCCGTGGCTGGGTCCCACTGCGCAGCCCCGAACCCCCCCCCGACGAAGTGGCTCGAGCAGCGAAGTCGAGGCCGAACCGTCGCCGGCCACGGGCCCCCCTGAGACAAAACGGAACTGCGACAGACCGACCTCCTCATCCCCAGCGAAGGCACGAGTGCCAGGCGGAGGAGGCGCGAGGCAGAGGCAGGGACTCTGCGGCAGCGGGCGGCGCCCGAGAGCGCAGTGAGCACGGGCGCGGAGGGCGGCGAGGACGAGGGAGGAGGAGGAGGAGGAGGAGGAGGAGGAGGAGGAGGAGGAGGAGGAGGAGGAGGAGGAGGAGGAGGAGGAGGAGGAGGAGGAGGAGGAGGAGGAGGAGGAGGAGGAGGAGGAGGAGGAGGAGGAGGGGAGGAGGGGGAGGGGAGGAGGAGGAGGAGGAGGAGGAGGAGGGGAGGAGGAGGAGGAGGAGGAGGAGGAGGAGGAGGAGGAGGAGGGAACGGGGGGAGGGGAGGAGGAGGAGGGGGAAGAGGAGGCTCGAGGAGGAGGAGGAGGAGGAGGAGGAGGAGGAGGAGGAGGAGGAGGACGACGAGGAGGAGGAGGAGGAGGAGGCCGCTCTCCAGCGCGCCGCAGTCCATGACGCAGTGCCGCGGGGCGTCCCCGGCGCCGCGGGCCGGGCGCGGCGGGCTGGCCGCGCGGCCCCGTGTCGCGACCGGCGCACGCCCCAGTCATGGGCGCGCCGCCGAGCGCCGAGACGAGGACGTGGCGCAGGAGGACGTGCAGGAGGTCGTCGTCGTCGTCGTCGTCGACGTCGTCGTCGTCGTCCTCGTCGTGGTCGTCCTCGTCGTAGTCGTCGATGCGCTTGGAGCCAACGACCGTCCCCGAGGCCTCCCTCCAGATCGGCGTGGCCGTCAGGCCGAATACCGAAGCTGCAACTGCATCCGCGCGCCGTTCCACTTCCCGCATCACGTCGGCCTGGGAGAGCAGGCCAACCCCCTCGGGCCCTCGCGCGAGGGCGGAGGGAGGAGGTCTCGCCAGCGTGGGCGGGAGGGAGGAGGTTGCATGCATGGCGGTCCAGCCCGCCCACTTCAGCGCGCGCAACATGGCCCCGATGGGCCCTGCCTCAACGCGGCCCTCGCGGCAATCGCCGATGGCCACGTCGAAGGCAGCCTTCAGACAGGGGGCTGGGATGACGCGCCCATTCGCCTGCCTGCGGTCTGCGGTGCGCCGCCACTCCTTCGCGTGCCTCACAATGCCAGCCGATGCGAGGTCGCCCAGCGGATCCAAGGCGGGAAGGAGAGCGCACATGGCCCATAATCATGATGTCGCTGCTGGCGCACGGGTGCCCGCGCATGCGCTTCGCACGGGAGCGGAGGTCGCTGACCTCGGTGTCCGTGAAGCCCGTGACCTCGCCGCCCCAGCGTGCAGACGGGAGAGCCGCAGTGTGCCAGACCCGATTGCAGCCCGCCGCGACGGCGGCGGCCTGCAGTGCCTCGCCCATCCGCGCTCGGCCCAGGCGTAGCCTCGCCCTCCTCGCAAGGCCTGCGCTGTGGACGACGCCGGGGAGCTCGCGGCTGTGGAAGTTGGCGCCGCTGCGACGAGCACCGGGCACCCCGCGCAGTTGCGCGCGGCGGCCCGCGCGAAAGTCCACGCCGAGGTGCCCCATGGAGCCCGCCCCGCGCCTCTTGCCCGCAGCCTTCGGCGGCAGGCCAAGGCTGCGGAGGGCGCCCTGCGCACAGCTAGAGACGCGGTCCGTGGAGCCGAGAACGGTGCCCTTGCCGCTGGCCAGCTCCATGTGCATGTCCTGCTGCAGCACGGCCCTGAGGTCCCTGGCGGCGTCGACGAGGAGCGCGATGGCCTCGCCCTCCGTGTCCGCCACGACCTCCTGCCCGATGTCGCCCACGCGAACGGAGACCAGCACCTCGGGGCGTCGCTCCTGCTGGGCCTTCAGGCCCGCGATGAGGCAGGCCACCAACGCGCGCGACGCAGCTAAGCAACCGGCCACAATGCCGCTGTCGGGCAGGATGCCCGCGGATACCATCCCGCCCATGACCGCGCACCTGGTCCACGTGAAAGCGCCGACCGCCACCCGCAAGATCGCCGCGGGGAATCCCGCGGCGCGCGCCGTGTGGATCAGCTTGGCGCGCGAGACCTTCTCGAAGGCCTTGGCCGCGTCCCACGGCAGCGCGAGGAAGGCCTGGCGCGCGCCGACCGCCGCATCGCCGCGCGCAGCAGCGCGCCACGCGCAGTCCGCGACCTTCCTGCCCCCCCCCCTGTGTCGAGGATGCCCCCGTCGTCGAGGTCGCGCTGCCGCGCCCTCAACCTCGGCCACTGGCACTTGTCCCAGACGCGGTAGAGGGCCTTGAACTGGCCGGCGGGGCGGCGCCCACCACCCAAAGGCTTGGGTTACTGCGCCTACATCAGCTCCTGCTCGCACGTGGGCAGCACGCCCGACGCCGTCACCACGTTCAGCAGGGGGGCAGCGGCGTCGAGGTCCGAGAGACAACCGAGGTGTCGAGGGTGGGTCCAGGCTGGAGCGCAGGTGCCCGGCTTGAAGCGGCTGGCCGACTTGCCGACGTCGTCGGCCTGCTGGAGCTCGCCGAGCCGCTGGGGCGCTGGCGGAGTCTCGAGCCCGCTCCAGTGCCGCTCCCAGTCGCACTGATGCCGCGCCAACAGCGCCACAGGGTCTGCCGCCCTGTCGTGAACGGCCTGCGCAGCCACCGTGATCTCGGGGTCGACGCTGCCTGGCTCCTCGGCCCAGCGGTGGAGCACCGGGGCGCCTTTGGCCAAGTCGGCCCGCAGGGCATCCCTCCAGGCCGCCCCGCTGCGGCGCGCGCCCATGCGGCACTCCCAGCAAAGGCGCTCGGCCGTCTCCGCCAGCACCTTGAACGCCCGTGCATGCTGCGCCATGCCGAGCCCCGCGACCCAGGCCGCGCCGGCGGCCTCCGGCAGGGGGGCCGCCAGGGGCGGCGCAGCTGGGGCGTGCCTTAACGCATCCTGGCCGTGGCCGACGGGGGAGCCTCCGGGGCCGCCGTCCACCGCCAGGCCGCCCTGGCTGGCCGACTCCAGGTCGGCGAGCGGGTCGAGCTCGCCATCGAAGGCGTTCCAAAAAGGTCGCGCCACCAGCTGCGACGGGGCGCCGACGGGGCGCGGGCGGCCGCGCGGGGCGACGCGGCGCGGGCCGCGCCAGGGCCGAGCGCGGGCACGGGCGGTCGGGGCCGAGGCGGGCGGTCACCTGCGGCCTCCGCGGCCCGCACTGCCGAGCTCGCCTCAATGTCGGTCGGCTCGCAGGTGGCCGAGGAGCGCGTACCAGTCGGCCCAGTCAGGCTATTTATCGTAATGGAGCGTAAAGTGTCCACGCTGCTGGAAGTCCTCGCGCAATCGCGCCAGCTCCTTCCTGCAGGTGGCTAGCCGCTGAGGGCGTCCGCCATGTGGAGCCGGTGTCAGGCCTGCCAGTGTGCGCAGCCGACCGCTCAGCCAGCGCATGCCCGTGCCCTGGTGTTATTGGGCGTGGCCAGCACATGTCCAGGGGCTTGTCGACGAAAGACAAACCGCCTCCCCAGTGGGCCAGATCCTGGGGCGCCGCGTCGACGACGCCACCAAAGTCGAGGCGGGGCGTGCGCGGCCGCGCAGCGTGAGCACCGTCGACCGCGGCCTGCCGCTGCTCCATCGGGAGAGGCGACTTGTACTCGCTCGAACGCACCGCGCACGAGCGTGCAGGTGGGCCCCCAGTCTGGCGGCTCGGCTCGAGGCCCGACCGGGCGTTCGGATGGCAGCCGCGGAGGCCTGCGCGCAACTCGCACCGTGGGCCAGTCACCCAGCGGCAGCTCGACCAGGTCGCGGATCGGGATGAGGTGCTCGGGCCTGACGGTCGGTCGACCACAAGCGAGTTCCAGCAGCCCGCCGGTCGCGAAGGAGCCCCTTGCGCAGTGGGCCCCCTGGCAGCTGTGGCAAACACCTGGACGCCGTGGCCCCCGAAGCCCGCGTAAGCGGCGCCCTCGTCTGGCCCGAAGTCCCCGTCGCCACCGGCAAGCCAGGGCAGCTGGTGCCCTTTGGGCGTGGTGAATCAATGCGCGCAACGAGGTCTCAGTGCTAGCGACCCCGACGCCGACCTTCGTGTACACCAAATATAGCGCGAGGGCACCCACAGTCGGGAGCCGCGCGAAGGCCGCCGAAACGCATCGTCCACGATGCTGGACTCCTGCGGGTACCACCAGAAGTCCAAATTCGTTTTGGCCAAAATCGCGACCCCGCCGCCAGGCAAAATCTCCGCGATAATGGCGTCATCACCCGCGAACTTCCAACCTCGCGACTTTGCCGAGGCAGCTGCCTCAAGTCGCTTCTCTCCACTAAGCTTGTGTTCCTAGGCGAACAAAACTGAAAAGGCCGCATCATCCAGATCCTCAAGCAGCTGACTGCACGTACCCCATGACGTCGCACTAACTGTGGCGAAACTGAAGGCATCTGGCCGCCTCCCCCTGCTGTGCTGCACATGGCAATGCATAGACGAACCAGCTGCTGATGACGAAGTCGGACTGGTAGGCAGGCGAGCCGTCCCTGCAGAACTGCTTGCTCGCCCACCTCGTCGATTACCCGCGCCGCGAGCGCTTGACAAAGTTGAGCGAGCCCAGCGCCTCTGCCAAGGCTCGCTTGGCATCTGCGGATTGGGCTGCTCTGGTCAGCAGGTCGGCAGTGGTCTGTCGAAGGACTCGGGCATGGGTTCGTCACCGTCGGCGCCGCCACGCCCGAGGGCATCTCCGCCAGGAGCAGCAGGAGGACCGCCAGGAGGTGCCGCTTTGGCCAGCACCTTGCCGAGGAGCCCCTCGAGGATGCCCGCCGCCCACGCGCCCAGCTGCTGCCCCAGTGGGTTGGCCGCAATGACCTCGGCGACCAGCTCCTTCTGCTTGGCCTCGTCGGGAGGCCGGTTGCACCTGCAGGTGCAGGCGGAGGCGGGGCAACCCTCTGCACCGCCTGCTGCACCTCCCGTTCAGCTTCTGCGATGGCCGCGGAGGTGTCGGTGATCTCCGCCAAGTGCGCGTCCCTGTCGGCCTCGGCCTCCTCGAGGGCCTGACGCGCCGCCCCCACCGCGGCCTCCTTGTCCTCCTTGACCTGCTCGAGCTTGGTGAGCTTGCGACGCAGCCTCTGCAGGCGGCCGTTGATCGACGTGGTCTGGGCCAGCGGCGCCTTGCTCTCCGGGCGCTGCGCGCGCAGTGCTGCGAGAGCCGCCTCAGTCTGTGCGACCAGCGGGCCCTCGTACTTCGTGCGCTTGAAGCCCGCCAGTGTGGCCTCGAGCGCTTCGATCTGGCCCAGCAAGCTGTCGTCCTCCGAAGGCTGCGAAGCCTCGGGGGCGGGCGGAGCCTTGTTCTGGCGGGCCCCCGTGCCCTTGAAGGTGGAGAGTTCCTGGCGCATCTCCTTCCGCAGCGCCTCCACAACCGAAGACAGGTCAAAGGCTCCTCCACCGCCCTGCCGGTGGCGATGCTGCTGGTCACCGTGGCGGGCCGCCGCCTTCTCGTCGGCCAAGCGGGCCTTGCGCGCGTCATCCGCGGGCGACTTGGCCCCGCAGGCGCAGACGATCCTGCTCACCCGATTGGCCGTGCGGTCATACTGCTTGCAGGACCAAGCGGGGCTCTTGGGCCCGCGGAGCACCACACGGCCGTCGGCATTGGGGGGCGCCATGCCGAAACGCGAGAGGCATACCTGCACGCTGGTGCAGCGCTCCGCTCCTGGGGCGGACTAGGAATCGCAAAAACTGTCAGACTGAGCAGTCTTGGCGCTGCTGCGGAGTAGCAGCTTCCAGTCAAGCACGGAGGCGCAGAGCCCCCACGTGCAAACATCTTGAGCCAAAAGGCTACGGAATGGGGGGGGGATAAGGCGGGGGAGGCGGAGGAGGAGGAGAAGGAGGAGGAGGAGGAGGAGGAGGAGGAGGAGGAGGAGGAGGAGGGGAGGGGAGGAGAGGAGGAGGGAAAAAGAGGAGGCTCGAAGGAGGAGGAGGAGGAGGAGGAGGAGGAGGAGGAGGAGGAGGAGGAGGAGGAGGAGGAGGAGGAGGAGGCGGGAGGAGGAGGAGGAGGAGGAGGAGGAGGAGGAGGAGGAGGAGGAGGAGGAGGAGAAGGAGGAGGAGGAAGAGGAGAATGAGGAAGAGGAGGAGGAGGAGGAGGAGGAGGAGGAGGAGGAGGACGAGGAGGAGGAGGAGGAGGAGGGGGCTTTCAGGGGCGTGCTGAGATTCCCTGAACAGCTTGTCTGCAAGGGCTCCAAGGGATCCTTGCAACGCCCATCGAGGGAGTCTGGGCCCAGGCCATCCATCGTGGCACCCCATCGTGGCCGCCCTGGCTTGGCCCCCCAGCGTGGCCCCCACGTCGTGGGTTGCCCGTCGTGAACTCTGCAAAGCTGTCCAGGGACTTCTGCCCCAAGGGTGTCACGTTCGAGAGGGTCGTGGATGTGTACCTCGTCCTCCTCCTCCTCCTCCTTCTCCTCCTCCTCTCCGCCGTCAGGCCAGGGTATTTCTAAACTCCCTGCCACCGCGGCCAAGCGGTGCAGCCTGGGCGCCGTGTGGCACTTCCTGCATGAGGTGTACCGCCGATAATGATGCGGAGGCGGGCGCCCGCGGTTCGCAGCGTACTTGGAATGCTTTTAGCCGCGGGCACACCTTTTGACGTGTTAAGATGAGGTTCTGGCGCAGGGTACCGCTCCCTGTTGGTTTGCTGGGTAGGCCCAGCACTGGACCGACCCCGACCCTGGTGGGGCCTTCTCCCGCCCCGCCTGTTGGCTGGGGGGAGGGGGCCAGGGAGCGACCTCACCCTGCGGGGTTGCGGTCGCTGGTCCAAGGCTCGGGTCCTGCCGTTTGCTTCCTATTGTTGGTTTCCCCCTACGGCACGGCGTTTTCGGCGCTATTGGGGGCTAGCCAATAATAGGGGACCGGAGGACGGATTCAGTTTGTTCATGCTTCCTCTTGTACACGTGTGCCCGTATGCAGAGGGAGACTTTCTGGCAGTGTTCTGTGCCAGGGCGTGTTTCGCCGGCCCGGGACGGGCGTTCGGTTCTGCCCTTCGGGGACATCGGACATCCTCCTCCTCTCCTCCTCCTCCTCCTCCTCCTCCTTCTCCTTCTCCTCGTCCTTCTTCTCCTCCCATTCCTCCTCCTCGTCTTTCGCCTCCCTCCTCCCTCTGGCGCCCCCTCTTCCTTCCTTATTTCCTCCTCCTGTCTCCTCCCAGTCCTTCATCAAACGCCTTATTCTCATCATGTCCTCATACTCGTCACATCCCTTCATGGTTGACGTCAGTACCTTCGCTCATTCAACCTTCAGCCTGCATCGTTCATCGCTCATGCGTCTTTCCTTATCAGTGATTGCTCTTTACGTGGTTGCTTGCTTGGCGTCATGCAACTCGTGTTGATTGCTCCCCCTCTTGATTCCGTGCTTACAAGAATGACCGCTTGCTTGCGATATTGTCTGGCTGCCTGCGATAATGGCTGCTTGCTTGCATGTGTGATGTATTGCGTGCGGGATGTCTTGCTCGCGTGAGCGCTTGCTGACCCAACTGCTTGCGTAACTGCTTGCTTGCGTAACTGCTTGCTTGCGTTGGTTACACGCGTGCGTGACGTATGATTGCGTGTTCGTGATTGTTTGGCGGGCCATTGATCGATGATGCCGTCTGCCTGTCTTTCGTGGCCGGTTGATATTTGGTTGCATGCCTGATTGCATGCTTGCATGCTTACTCGTTGACGTGTTTTCACGCATGATCCTTGCTTAAGCCCATGCATGATGGCGTTCGCACCGTAGCTCCTACGTGGAGATAGCCCGACTGCAACAACATTGATGTGCATATGTATGCCTGCGCATTATCTGTATATGTATGTATATACAGATGGCAGATCGCGAAGCAAAGCTTGAGAAATGTTACAGCAAAACCCAGACGAGCCTGGAAAGCCTTCGCGGTGTCGATACACTTGCCACCTCAGCGGCTGCCAGAGCATGGGAGTCTAGATGCGGTGTGCACCGCGAGGAGACGCGCAATGTCCGAACGCGGCGGACCGCATGAGAGGGCGAACACTTAGAGACACAGCAGGGGAAACGACCGAGGATGGACAGAGGAGGAGAAAAGGTAGGAGTGGGGGGCAGAAAGAGGGAATCATGTGAAGGAGGCATCAACAACCAGACTGGATTGCATGGCAACTGGTCAGTGTTCGACGATGTGCAAGCACATTCTATATATATATATATATAGATAGATTGCAGGCGAGTCGGAACAACACAAGACTCAATAACTGGGACGGCCGCAAAGCCACTCCTGGAGCGAAACAGTGAGGACCCCCACGATCTCAAATGCACCCAAATGCTTTAGATTCTGCAACTCTCCGAGCTCGGTCAGCCAAACGCATTGAGTCACGATCAACCGCGGATGCGACCACGTTCTTTCCGGCAACGCACGCGACGTACTTAGTATGAGTCCATTCTGGTGTAAGTAGCGACGGGGCGTTTGCAATCCCCTTCCCTTGCCCGGATTCTGTACTATGTAAAACCGTTTGGGTCATTGCAACAGCGGCCGCCCATTGTCAGCTGCAAACTCAGCAACAAAACAACGCCCTACAAGGAATGCCTGCTCAAAAAATTCAGCGTCGCGCCACTCCTCGAGTTGCCAGTACAGCCATCACGTGGCAGAGAAACTCGCAGCTTGCAAACGATGCAACGCAAAATGCTGATCCACCCGGTCAAGATCGATGCCCGGCCCATTCCTCACATCCGTACGGGCACGGACCCCCGATCTGCTGGAGCTTCTCAGTGCTCCTGCGCGCTCTTGGGGTGCGCCGCGTGACCTTCCCAGACGATTGCGCCCTGGCGGCAGACAACCATTGACGATGTCATCAAATACCAGCATGAGGTGGGCTTGTGACGAAACAACCAAAACAGGTCAAACAGTGAGCAACCGTGGTCACAACTAATTGAAACATCGCCCCCAGACTACCTGTTACTATTTTTGGAATGTTCCTCCTGTAGAAGGACATGCCCGACTTAATACCCGCAGTGTAGGTGTACTGTGCGGCGCGTGCGCCGCGATGGCATCTGGGAGACCACGAGGGAGGAAAGACGCGCACGCCTCTGGGAGACAACACAGGGAGAACATGCGGAGGAGAGCATGCGGGAGATCATGCGGGAGAGCGGCGCTTGTTTCATCCCAACACCCCCTTGAAATCGGAAACTGGGCGAGGGCCAGCAGGTCCGTGGCTGCGAAAAGCGGTCGTCTTGGAAGAAGAAAAAACACCAACTCCTGGAATGAAGCTCGGCGCGCTGAGCAGTAAACGGGCTGCTGCATGGAAGAAAAAATTATCCCAGTGCGACCCTACCTAGGAGTTGGAGCCCCTAGGAAAGCAGCATTAGTAGTAAAAGTAAAGCTAAGCTAATGCTAAGCTAAAGCAAAGCTAAAGCTAAGCTAAAGCTAAGCTAAAGCCACGGCTCTGCCAGCCTTCGCCCGGCTTCCGATCACAGCACCCACGAGCCTGCGGGCGCACAGCCCCTGACCCGGGCAGGCACCGGGAGCAGCCTGCCGCATCACTGAGAGCGTGAGGCGCGGCCGCCCGCCTCGTGTTTGTTTTTATTGTGCTCTCTCTCTCTCTATAGACAAGCGCGTCCTCTCTCTCTCTCTCTTGTTCTCTCTTTCTCTTTCTCTCTCTCTCTCTCTCTAGACAAGCGCGTTCCGCGACTCGCAGAATAGCTGCTCGCAAGTGGCCTGGACCCACAGCGTCGAGGCAAACTGCCTCCGTTGCATCGAGCATCACCTGTTTTTGTTTGGACGCTTGCGAGTAGGCATTTTGCGAGCAGTGGAACGCGCTCGGTGACTCTCTCTCTCTCTCTCTCTCTCTCTTTTCCTCCCGATCATACCAGGCGGCGCGCCCGGGGGGAAGTGAGAAGGGGCGGGCCATGTCAGAAGGCTCGGAAGTTTCCTGGCCTTCTGCGAAGTCTTCGAAGCCTCCCCGAAGACGCAAAACACCTCCGCGAAGGCGCGAGGGGGGCTTCTGAGAAGTCCCGCGGCCTTCTGACAATGAAGGCCTTCCTCCTCCCCACTGCCCCCCGTCGCCCGCCGCCAGCACACGGGAGCACGGGATCCCCTACCTAAAACAGGGCTAGGATCGGGATAAATCGCTCCAGAGCGTTCCGGAGCGCTCTCAGAGCGTTCCGGAACGCTCTGGAGCGGCCGCGGCGCCCAATACATCCTCCAAACCCGCCGATTCTCAGAGATTTCGAGTTACCCCGATCCGATTTTGTCCCGATCTTCGCGTCGTTTTAATACCGGAGACCGTGCGGGAGGCCATGCGGGGAGACCGTGCGGGGGACCACACGGGAGGCCCCACGGGAGACCACGCGGGAGGCCATGCCATGGCGGGAGACCCTACGGGAGGCCGCACGCGGACGACCGCGCGGGAGGCTGGCCGCCAGGCCACCGGCTCGGGGGCCGGCCACGGCCCCGCGCCCGGGGAGGCCCTGCCGGAGATCGCACGGGAGCCCACGCGGGAGACCATCCAGTCGCCGATTCTGGTGCGGGCAACGGCCCCATACATAGATATAACAAGTTTACAAGCATATGCGTCCATGTACATATATATATATATATATATATATATATATATATATATTAGAGGCCTCCTGGATGGGGTCGGAGTAGACGGGGTCGGAAGATCACGCCATATCGCCGATACATCGGCGATGCATGCACATCGGGCCCTACATCGAGCCGCATCGGCGATGCATCGGCGATGCGGCGCGATCCTCCGACCCCATCTACTCGGTCCCCATCTAGGAGGCCTAGATATATACATATATAAATATATACATACATATATATATATATATACTCGTACAGACAAGCAATTTCAGGAGCATTGCGGGGAGAGGGTGCAATATGCTTCGACTGCCCAGGCCTCGCGAGGGCGCGGCGCAAAGGCCGGGTGTCCGCAGATCCTGCCTGCCGCCCAGGGCGGCCCCGGGAGCGCCCGGAAGCCCGGGTCCTGGAGGCCCCAGGGCACCGTTGCGGGACAGGCTGGAGTGCTCCCTCCTCCTCCTCCTCCTCCTCTCCTCCTCCTCCTCCTCCTCCTCCTCCTCCTCCTCCTCCTCTTCCTCTTCGTCTTCTTCTTCCTCCTCTCCTCCTCCTCCTCCTCCTCCTCCTCCTCCTCCTCCTCCTCCTCCTCCTCCTCCTCCTCCTCCTCCTCCTCCCCCCCCTCACACCATTTTGGGGCCACACGAAAAGACGTGTTTGTCTCGTACTCCAGGAGCGTAGTGCAACACAAGCGCTTGCTCAGAGGAGCCGAACTACTCGAAAGAACCGCATTTTCCCTCGTCCCTCTCCATCCATCTCTGATTGTTCCTCCCCTCCCAGGACATCCAGGCTTCCAGGTAGAGGGGAGGGGGGAAGATCGAGGTGGATCTGTAGGGCTGTCCTCCAATGAACTGCTGTTGCCCGTGCAGGTACGGTGCGCTTGCACTGCGAAGGTTCGAACATAGATGAGAGCGGCCGAATGAGAAACCAGACAGGTGGCGCCCGAGGCTCCGGCCAACGCCGTAGTCATCGGCAGTCCAATTTCGGGGGCCATCCCATCCGTCACCACCACCCCCGAAGCCAGACGCAGCACCATCTGGGTCGGTAGCTGTGTGAAGCGTTGAGTGCCAAGCGAACTGGTTTGCCTCCATGATGTCAATCTCGCTACAGGACTGTCCACAGACGTTGTTAGCGTCGCAGTAATGGTCGAAACACTCAGAAGCATTCTTGTTGTGCCCCATAGAGGTCAAGTAGAACGCCACGTTGCAGCCACATCCAGCTCCCTTCAGGTCCGCGGAAAACCTCCAGCGCAGGCTGTTGGCGCCAGATCGAAGCAATACAAACATTACAAGAACAGCAAGGAAAAGCAGCCGACAAAGAGAGGGACGACTGGGAGCAAAGACGGCCAAGAACGCAAGCTGCCCCCAGGAGACACTTTTTCAACGATTCGCGATGACGCGCGTTACCGGCGGGGCCGCCCGCCCCCCACCCTGGGAACGATCCGATTCGTGCCTCCGGAGGCCTGTGAAAACTCTGGGGTTCTCCAGAGGTCCAGAGGCCTCCACAGACCTCAAGACTCGTCGTCGTCGTCCTCCCTGGCCACTCCTAGACGCCGCGGGCGCAAATCGTGACGTTACAGTGCCCACACAACCCTCCACCAACAACGCCACTTGAGACGTTCCAATCATGGCCTTGACTGCGAGGATCGAAAGAGTTGTCATCCCTTCCGCCGCGGAAGGCGGCTGAACGGTGGCGAAAGGTCGGCGGAATTAAAACGAGGCCGCCTCCGCCGGCGGAAGCTGGCGGAAGGGCGTCGGAAGGTGGCGAAGCTGAAAACGCGCCCCCGAGAGATGAAAACATTGTTCTCCAAATAGGCTTGCCCTATAGGAGTCCTAGCTCATCATAAGTAATTGGTCTTTAGCACGCCCCCCTTTTTTTCCAATGGCACCCTCCCCTTTTTCCAATGGGCCCCCCTTTTTCCAATGGCACTTGCTTGCTTGCTCTTGCGTGCTTGCTCTCGCTCGCTCGCTCTTGCTTGCCCTCGCTTGCTGGCACTTGATCGCTGGCTCTTGCCTGCTTGTTATTGCTCGCTTGCGCTTGCTTGCTTCCGCTTGCTTGATGTTGCTCCTCCCGTTCTCCTCCCGTCCTGCTCCCGTCGTCCTTTCGTCCTCTTCCCATCCTCCTCTCGTCCTCCTCCTTTCCTCCTATCTATTAGGAGTCAACGCTGGCTGCTATTGGGTTCAGGGCTTCTGGCAGCGGCCACTTATCGTCAGAGGATCGATCAACTGGCTCCAGATCTGGTGGCCTTTTTGACGATGGGGCCGCGAAGCACCGCCGCGCGGCCAGCCCAAGGACCCCCCCCGCCTCCCAGTGCCGGTCTGGGCGGGCGGGCGTGAGATGGCTCACAAACTCCTGGGCACCCAGCTTTAGTGAGAGGATGCCGAAAAAGACTGTCTGTACACCGTGCCGCCCATGAAAAGAAGCTCGTGTGAGGAGAACTTTTACCGTGTTGGAAGGAAGGGGTTGGGAGGAAGGGCATGAGCAATAGCATTCGGATGCAATGCGCGATGCCATCGACCGCCTACGGGTAATGATACCCCCATCTCTCGCAACCCCATCTTCCCAACCCGATAGCTGTCTTCCTGAATGTGTGCTATCACTCCATGCCTGAAGTTTCTAATGACCGGTCCCTGGAAATCTCACGGGGCACTGCTCCAGCAAGTGCGTCGAGTCGCGTCCAGCCGCAATGGCAGGGCGCCCCTCGGTGTCGAGAGACGCCGCCAGTACACCATGCAAACAGACACACACACACACACACACACATTCACACACACATTCACACACACACACACATTCACAAATTCACACATTCTCTCTCTCTCTCTCTCTCTCTCTCACACACATACACACACTGAAGTGCAAGCTCGCTAGCACCATTCGGGCCCCTTTTCGCCTCCCCAGGGACACTGCCAGGACGACACCGCCAACGCGACGAGTGTTCACAGAGGGCTAAGAATCCACCCCCATAAGAACCACACCGCCGAGCGAAGCCGCTTAGCAAACGCACCCAAAGGAAGAATCGAACAGGACAGGGCTGCTAAGTAAACGCCCAGGGCCGTCTAGCAAACGACAGCTACCAAGTCCAGCTGGTTTTTTCCTCCCTTGAAATCACTCCAGGGCTGCCTCCCCCCCCCAGCGTGGACGTCTTCCGCGCTGCCGCTCGGGACCCCCCCCGCCCCGCGACCCGCCTCGGAGATGCGGGCCGCGTCGGGGGCCAGCATCCGCAGGAGCGGCCGCCGCCCCGGAAGGTTTGCGATCTGACACGGGAGCTCCGAAAAGGGCTCCCCGGCCTCCAGTCACGAGGAACGAGCGGGCAAGCTGCCACTCGAGTTTCGAGGGCCCTGGGGGACCTCGCTGCGGCACGCTTCGTCTCGTCATGAGGCCTCAAGGCTTTGAAGGATGTGAGGCACGCGCGCGGCCAGAAGATGCGTCTCTGAATCGTCTCTGCAGTGGTGGCCTGGCCACAAGAAACCTTCCACAAGAAACCCAACCCTGAGACCCCAGGACGCCCATCAAATTTTTGTGTGGGAATGTCATGCTCTCTACAAAAACCATCGAAACCCAAGAAACCCAGGGCACCCTGGAGGCAAGCAGGGTGCCTCTTGGCATGGGTCTCCACCGTACTCGCGCCGAAACAGAACACTGGGAAGTGCTGGGCGACCAGCGGAGGGTGGGTCTTTCGCCTGGGCCACCGTGGCAAGAGTCGCCCGCGCTGTTCCCCCCTCGCGAGAGGACGCATGTCGAAACGCGAATTTCGCGACCACGCGCCTCAATGACTTCCCCAGCAAGTTGATGCGCATGTAGTCTGTGTTGTTGTAAACGCCGGCGGTGCATGTATCTGCAAAGTACGCACGGGCACCAAGATGTGGTACCAAATGGTCGCCTTCGACCAAGACGTTCTCGAACCCTTCCTTGTTCTTCCAACCTCGCGACGCAAGCAGAGACGACAAGTAGATGAAAGGTCAAGCCGGCGGCTGTGGAACAGAACTCGGGAAACGCATGGAAGGAGATTCCCCAAACAGTGCTTGCGCTCCGGGGTTCTTGTGACGAACCAACAACACACACTCATACCCATAGGGGGGTCGGAAAGGGCTATGGGTGCGTGTTGTCGGATGGGGGTCCCCGCTCGAACGGGAGCGTTCCCTAGGGTCCGACAACCCGCACCCATACCCATAGCCAGTCCTCCTCCCAACGACCCCCTTATGGGTATGGGTGTGTGTGTTGTTCGTTCGTCATTTTGCTTCCGCTCTAGAAGAAACCAGGCCCCAAAGGCGGTCAGGCCAGCTTCTCGCCGCCCGTCGCCACCGATCGCCGCCGTCGCCGCTGGGCCCCAGTGGCGTCCTGGCCTGCTCGTCGCCGCCTGTCGCCGAAGGCAGTCGCCACCGCTTGCATTGCTTTGAACTGTTTTGCATAGCCTTTCGTGGCTTTGTATTGCGTTGCGCTGCTTTGCATTGCTTTGGATTGCGTTGCATCGCATTGCATCACTTTGCATAGCTTTGCACTGTATTCCATTGCTTTGCAGTGCTTTGCGTTGCAGCGTAGTGCTTTGCAATGCGCTGCTTTGCATCGCATTACTTTCATTCCCCAATCGGAGCTTGCCCCTGTAGGGCTCCTAGCGGATTCATATGTGTAGGTGACCTACGTCGCCGATTTCGGTGGCTGGCCCCGGTGCTCGGGTGCCCGGGTGCCTGGGGGTGCCCGGGTGCCCGGGTGCCTGGGTGTCCGGGGGTGCCCGGAGGTGCCCGGGGGTGCCTGGAGGTGTCCGGGGGTGCCCGGGTGCCCGGGTGCCTGGGTTCCCAGGTGCCCGGGTGTCGGGGTGCCCGGTAGCCCTATAGCCCTGCAGCCTTATAGCCCTATTGCCCTATAGCCCACGAGCCCTATAGCCCTATAGCCCTATGGCCCTATAACTCCATAGCCCTATAGCCCCGTAAACCTATAGCCCTATGGCCCTAAAACCCAATAGCCCTATAGCCCTTAATAGCCCTATAGCCCCAATAGCCCTACAGTCCAATAGCCATATAGCCCAATAGCCTGATAGCCTTACAGCCTTATAGCCCTATAGCCCTATAGCTCTATAACCCTATAGCCTTATCGCCCTAAAGCCCTGTAGCTATATAGTTCTATAGCCCCATAGCCCTATAGCCCTGTAGCCCTACAGTTCTATAGCCCTATAGCTCCATAGCACTATACAAAAAAGATTGGGGTATTTTTTTCTCAGGTATCATTGCCTTGCATTGCTTTGCATTGCATTGAATTGCTGTGCATTGCTATGCATCTCTGAAGCATTGCTTTGCATTGCCTTGCACAGACTTGAGGCGTTGCTTTGCATCGCCTTGCATTTATTCATTGCTTTGTGTTGCTTTGTATTGCTTTGCATTGCTGTGCATTGCGTTGACATGCTTTGTATTGACTTGCGTTGTTTCGCATTGACTTGCATTGCTTTGCAATGTTGTTCATTGCTTTGCATTGCTTCGAATTGATCTACATTGCCTCGTGTTGCTGTACATTGCGTTGCATTGCGTTGCATCGCTTTGCCTTGAATTGTATTGTTTTGCATTGCTGTGCGTTGATTTGGATTGTGTCGCATTGCTTAGCATTGCGTTGCATTGTTTGCATTGCTTTGCATTACTTCGCAGTGCTTCGCATTGCGTTGCATCGGTTTGCATTGGTTTTCGAGAGCGTGATCCACACCCGCTTAACTGTGGACATCTCCCCACCCTTTCGGGAACCCGGGGTCCCCCCCTTCGAAAATCCCCCCCTGCTGGACCCACCGACCCTCCCCCCTTCCCTCCGGCAAACGCCCCCTCTCCCCTTATACCCCCCCTCTCCCCTTATACCCCCCCCCCTCCCGGAAAACGGGGGGGGTCACTACTGGTTCGACCCCCCCCCTCCGGAAAACCGAAGGGGGTCACTAGTTACGGGTTCGACCCCCACCCCCCCCTCCTTCGGAAAACCGGGAGAGGTCACCACCTGTTCGAACCCCCTCCCCTCCAGAAAACCGGGGGGGGGGTCACTGCTGGTTCGAATCCCCCCCTCGAAAAAACAGAGGGGGGTCACTACTGGTTCGAATCCCCCCCCCACACTCACCGCCAGCAAATGACTCCCGGGTCCCCACCACCGTCCGCACCACATGCCCCACTGCTGTCCCCAGCGCCACTGACTACTGCTGTCCCCAGCGCAACTGTCCCCAGCACCGCTGTCCCCACTGTGCCCACCACCGTCCCCACTGTCCCCACCAGTGCCCCCACCACTGTCGCACTCTCCCCACTGTCCCCACCACTGCTCTCACCACGGTCCTCTCCCAACTTCCCCAAAGGCCCCCACCACTGTCTCACTGTCCCCACCGACCCCACTGTCCCACTGTGCCCGCCGCTGTCCCACTGAGCTGTCCCACTCTCCCCACTACGGTCCCCACTGTCCCCACCACTGCCCCACTGCACCTCTGTCCCAATGTTCCACCACGGTCCTCGCCACCGCCCTCACCACTGTCCCCACCACCCCTGTCACCACCACTGTCCCAATGTCCCCACCCCACTGTCCCCACCACCACCGTCCCCACCACTGTCCCAAAGTGCCCACCACTGTCCCACTGTCCCCGCTGTTCACACCACCGTCCCCTCTGTTCCCACCAGTGCCCCCACCACTGTCGCACTGTCCCCAATGTCCCCACCACTGTCCCCACCACTGTTCTCACCACGGTCCCACTCTCCACACTTCCCCCACCAGTGTCCCACTGTTCCTCCTGTTCCACTGTCCCCACCATGGTCCCGCTGTCACCACTGTCCCCACTACCACCGTCCCCACCACTGTCCGCACCACCGTCCTCACGCCACAGTCCCCGCCACCATCGTCCCCACCACTGTCCCAGTATCCCTACCACGGCCTGAATCGTTTGCCTGCGGCGAGCGGCGAGCTGTCTCGAGGAGCGTGAATCGTTTGCCTGCGGCGAGGGGGGGGTTCGAACCGGTAATGACACCCCCATTTGCCATGATGGAGTGTGGGGAGGGGTCGAACCGGTAGTGACCCCCTCGGGCTTCAGGGGGGGAGGGGAACGGGTTGGGAACCCCGTGACGCACACCCGGTTTTCCGCCAGCAGCGGTAGAACACGCTCAAAATACGTCTATGCGAGACGCTTGCGAGAGTTGCTGAGGCATTGTCGCAGGGTTCCTATTCGCAAGGCCCTCTGGGCGCAGGCGGTTTGGAGAGAGCACGAGCTTCCCCCCACGCCAGTTCCCCCCCTCAAGCTGGATGCGCCTCCGTCCTTCCCCGGCCTGGCCTGGCGTGGGCGGCCAGAGCGCCCAATTTTGCTTCAAATGATTACAACGCGGCCCAAAATATTATAAGTCGGCACCCGGGACTGCGAAATACGATCTTGTTTTGAAAAATAGTGGCTCCAACATGATGTTCAAACCCAATCTTGCCATGGGGGAAAGAGAGGGCACCTCAAGAGGGCACAGCTTGGTGAAGGAAGTGGGACGCCATAGGCGTGAGGCGACATCTAGATTCTGACTGCATGGGGCGGAACCTGGGACCCAGCGACGGAGGAGGTGGAGGAGGAGGCGGAGGAGGGGGAGGAAAGACAAAAGGCGTTTTGGGCTGGTGCCCTAGATAACCCGCAACAGGTCTGAAGCCGTTCGCTAAAAAATATGGCTGCAGGGCTGCGCTTCATCGAGCCGATGCCGCGCCTCGGGCATTGTGTCGGAGTCTTCTGGACCGCCCAGTTGCCCGATCGGCTGCGGGAGGGCCGGGCACTGCGCAAACGGAGAGGATCTGCACGCGTGCGGGGGCGGCACAAATCCTGAGCCCCAAACTGAGGCGAGGCACGAAGAGGCGAGGAGCAACAGGAAAGGAAGGACGAGGCGCGATGCGGAACCAGGGCGGCGAGCTGCCGATGCCGAGAGAAAAGCAGGCGCGCACTCGCACGTGCGCAGACCAGCCCCCCGCTGGGCGGCGCCCACACGCGGAGCCTCCGCGAGCACAGGCGCACACCAACCAGGAGGAGAGGAAGGATGATACGGTGGGGCATGGGATAAGGACGCATTGGGTAAGTAATCCAGAAACTGGAAGCCAGTGGACAGCCAATCGTGGATTGGCCATAGATGTCACAGCCGCCCTCATCAGATAAGGGACCCGTCAGTGTCTGCAGCCTCCTGGTCACATTCCTTAACGATCGCCGCCACCGCATAGGGGCACGGACAACGAGAGAGGTGGGGAAACCATTGCACCAGAGAAAAGAAACCCAATCATTGGATGACATCAATAAAGGGACCGATACAGAGATCAACCGGGAACCCAAGGACTCAGAACCCAACGAAACCGCCGAAATCGGCTCGGAACTATAATGGCAGTAACCCGGGAACGGGGAACCAGGAACCCGGGAACCTAGCTGTGCGCGAAAGTTCCGCCAAGTCTTCCAGCCCCAATCAGTGGATGTGGTTTGATGAGATCGAAGAGATCTACCGGGATCCCGGGAACCCGGAAACCACCCACCGAAATCGGCCCGGAACCAATAACCAGGAACTCGGGAACCCGAGACCGGGAACCCTGGAACCCCGCCGGCCACAAGAATCGGCGGGAAACTTTCGCCAAATCTTCCAATTTCCACTGCAAGCACTGATGGGGAAATATCAGCTAGGAACCCTTCAGTGCAAGCACTGCTAGGGGAAAAAAGAACCCATGCCTCGGACCTCTCCCAGGGTGCTATCTGGCCCGAATGTCGGAGCGAATCCAGCGGTGAGGCCCCCCAAAAGAGGAAACGAGAAAAGGTAGAAACATATGAGTACCTCTTCCTCCTCTGGAAAGAGTCTGGAAAGACAGAGAGAGAGAGGATATATATATATATATAGAGAGAGAGAGAGAGAGAGAGAGAGAGAGAGAGAGAGAGAGAAACAACAAAAACAATACAGAAATATATACAGAGAAATGAGAGAGAGAGAGAGAGAGAGAGAGAAAGAGAGAGAGAGAGAGAGAGAAAGAGAAAGAGAGAGAGAGAGAGAGAGAAAGAGAGAGAGAGAGAGAACAAACAAAAAAAACAAGGAGGAGGAAATGCGCCTGCAGACAGACTGGGCGCCTCGATGCCGCAACAGGGGGGGCGAATTCACGAGCGACCCGCGCAACACCACAGTAGGAACAAGGAAAGGCGACACCAACACCACCAGGGCGAAGAGCCGCGAGGAGCAAGGGGCATCCTCGGTGGTGTGGCCCACCCCTGTCGCTCGAGACATCCCCTCTCCCCTGATCGGGGAGGCCTCGTGGACCTCGTCGCTGGAAGCGGCCCCCCTGGTGGTGATGGTGTCGCAACCCGTCCCCCTCCCACACAGGCACGATCACGACCAGCCTGATTTCAAGTATGCTGCAGGCGCCTGTTGTCACCGTCGCTTTGGCCCCAGGCCGACGCTCACCAGCGACCCAGGGGAGGAGTGCCTGGCAGGAGAGCCTGACAGGTGGCTGGAGCCACGGGCCGCGCCACTGTCAGCCGACGCGGGCTGGCCCAAACAAGCCCTGAACACCAGCACGACTGAATGTCAATGCGCGCTCACACTCGCAAACAAAACACCGCGAGAAGAAAAGCAGCACCCATGCTGCTTCCACCATTATATTGTCTCAACACCACGAGCAACACCAGCGCAATCAATAATACAGCAGAAACAGCGCGACGATGGCAACGAGCACGAGCTGGACATGCCACGCGATCTGGCAATACTGCGAGAAGCACCTGTGTAACCATCGTGCTGCGAGCAGCACGTCCAGAGCAGCGCGGAAACGATGGCCTGGAACATGCCCTCCAAGAGGCCCTGGGGCGGCGCCAAGACGGTTCGCGATTGCCACGGGACCTCCCAACTCCCACGCAAGTATCCGACGGGCCACAACTGCAACACATGTGCTGTTTTCTGTGTGGACCGATGTAATGTGTGCCATCTCGCTCCCCGCAGACACGTGGGACAGCAGTGAGGCCCGAACAGCGCCGGGCGGAAGCGCGATGAGGACCCAAGTCGGCCAAAAGATGCACTGCGTGGCTTCTGCAAGCAACCCAAGAGAACTGCAGAGGGGGCAGAACACGGGTCTTGTTGTCAGGCATCAGGGCAGCCTGACAGAAACCCTTATGTTGCCCACGCCAGCGCACAGCAAAAGGATGCCTCTCCTGGCCGCTGCGCCCCCCCCAGAGGAAAAACAACAACAACAACAACAACAACAACAACAACAACAACAACAACAACAACAACAACAACAACAACAACAATTACTAGCACGTGGGGACACTCCGTTCTCACCAGTGCCAGGGTTTTCATACGACGCCCGCCAATACCCCCACTTTGTGGGGGGGCCGGTTCAAGCTCTACCAATTTCCAAACGACTCTTCGCCACCACCCACACCCAGCTTCCCGCCCTATGACGTTCGGACACTTCACTTCGTGGCCTGCGGACGACCGTGGCTACTACACTGGCGCGTGGCTACTACACTGGCGGATTGTGGCCCCTGGCAGGCGCGCGAACGCCGTTGAAAGAGCTTGCGAAAGTAGCTCGCGCGAGCTCATGTAACATAAATGTTGAAAAACCATTGGTTTTTAAGGATTCGGACAGCGCGCGCGGGTAGAAATTTTGAAAATCCGTGCACGTGTTTTTCGAGGACCTACGGTGCGATTCGTGCGATTTTATGATACGCGGTGCTGAAATTCTTAAGAAACCCAATGGTGTTTGAAGATTTCGGCGTGCGCGCGCGAAGAAAAAACGAATGTGTCCCATATGGTATTATTTGACAGGGATGATGGCCCTGGCAGGCGCGCAACCGTTGTTGCAGAAGTTCGAAGCACGTGAAAAAGTTGCTCGCAAGAGCCCGTTTGACAGAAATGTTGAAAAAGTATTGGGTTTCCTAAGAAATCCGCAAGAGCGCGCGGGATGAATTTTTGAAACTGTTTTTTTGAAAAACCATTGGGTTTTTCATGTTTTTATGTTAAAATCGCTACGAAAACTAAGGTTTTGGAAGGATTTCATCTTGCGCGCGCGAGTGTGCACTTCGTGTCATTTTTTGCAAAGGATTCTTGAAGTTTGGCTATGTTAGAACAAGACATGTCATTTTATATTGTTTTTTGACAGGGAAAGCGGGCGTCAACAAAACAACCGGATCCGGACTCCCCCGTTTTGCCTGAGACTTCCTCACGAAAATGATGAAAATGTGGCTGCGGCCTAGGCGCGGCGAGGGGGGCGTGCACCAGGGGGCCCAACAATAATTATTCTTTAGAAGTAATAATATTCAACAACAACAACAACAACAACAACAACACCAACAACAAAAAAACGGTGGCCGCGGCGGCAGAGGCTAGCCCAAGCTACTGGGCTCAAACTGACAGCCTATACCCGGCCGTGACAGCGTACAGCAGCACAGCGAGCCGGGCGGCGGCCGGCCCTCACCGAAGCGCAAGACTCGGGAAGGGAGAATAGGGCGGGGGCACGAGAACCTGGTGCAGAACCGCTTGCTGCAGCAGTTCCTGCAGCTTCAGCTGGAGCACCAGACAGTCTTGCAGTGACGTCGTTGCTGGCAGAGGCCACGGCTGTGGCCGCGGGCTGTGGCGTGGTGGGGTGATCACCTCTGTGGCCTGGGGGGCATCCTGGACGCTCTAAACGCAAGTGCCTCCCATAGCGTTGCAGCTATTGCCGTGCGAAGGTAAGTTGGGCCCACGTAGACCCACAGAAGTGAATTGCCAAGCGCAGTCAGTAGCAACGTTTTGAATGCAGCTGGGCGTTGTGATTTGTGGTCGGATTCATCCTCCGCATCGGATTACGACGGTAAGGCCTGTCTATAATCGTGCACAGGATCCGCGTTCCAAACGCAGCCCGTGCAAAACGCATGGCCAGTCAACATCAGGACATTATCAACCTAAGGTCGCGGAGTTTCTTGGCCTGTGATGCCACTGCCCGTCCCCTCCACATCCCATTCTGCCTTTCCTGCTCCCCTTCCTTGGCCCCCCGTGGCTCCTGATGCTGATGGGTGGCTCTGCTGCAGAATTGGTTTTCCCAAGCGGTATTTTCATGGCCGTGGCCCGACGTGTCAATTGCGTCGATGTCCGACGCCGTGGTTGCCAACGAGACCTCTTAATGTACCATGGCTGAATTGCACGCGCACCCTAACTGAATGGCGATAGGCAGCAACTTCTTGCACGCCACTGGAGACATCAAACCGGACCCCTCCATTCCACTATGCCCCATCTCCAGCCCAGGGGGGGGCACACGTCCATCCTACTTATTTGTTTTGTTTCTTCTGTTGTTATTATTATTATTCTTCTTCTGCTGCTTCTTCCTGTTCTTCTTCTTCTTCTTCTTCGTATTCTTCTTCCTAGTACCATCATGTTTATTAATAATATTAGTATTAGTAATATTAATAATAAAATTGCTATTATTATTATTGTTGATATTGGTATTGTTATTATTATTGTTACTATTATAATCATTCTAATTACTATTACTATCATCATCATCATCATCATCATTATTATTACTATTATTATTAATATTCTTGTTATTATTATTATTATTATTATTAGTATTCTTATTGTTATTATTCTTATGAGTAATAATAATGATAGTAGTAGTAGTAGTAGTAGTAGTAGTAGTAGTAGTAGTAGTAGTAGTAGTAGTAGGAGTAGGAGTAGGAGTAGGAGTAGGAGTAGTAGTAGTAGTAGTAGTAGTAGTAGTAGTAGTACTAGTAGTAGTAGTAGTAGTAGTAGTAGTAGTAGTAGTAGTAGTAGTAGTAGTAGTAGTAGTAGTAGTAGTAGTAGTAGTAGTTAGTAGTAGTAGTAGTAGTAGTAGTAGTAGTAGTAGTAGTAGTAGTAGTAGTAGTAGTAGTAGTAGTAGTAGTAGTAGTAGTAGTAGTAGTAGTAGTAGTAGTAGTAGTAGTAGTAGTCGTAGTAGTAGTAGTAGTAGTAGTAGTAGTAGTAGTAGTAGTAGTAGTAGTAGTAGTAGTAGTAGTAGTAGTAGTAGTAGTAGTAGTAGTAGTAGTAGTAGTAGTCGTAGTAGTCGTAGTAGTAGTAGTAGTAGTAGTAGTAGTAGTAGTAGTAGTAGTAGTAGTAGTAGTAGTAGTAGTAGTAGTAGTAGTAGTAGTAGTAGTATGCTTCTGCTTCTGCTTTTGCTTCTGCTTCTTCTTCTTCTTCGTCGCCCTCGCGACAAGGCTGCCGCGCCCCCCCACGGCTAGCACACGACCCCCTGCGCGCCCGCGGTGGGTGCGGGGCGGGGGCATGCTCCGAGGGAGCGCGGGGAGTTTTCGGCCAAAGCCCGGCGAACAGTAAGGCGGGGTGGCGATCTACCTTTTTTTGCCTCTGGTCCCAGCGCCAGCTCCAGAAATCTCGGCCTACCCAGCGCATCGAGTGGAAGCTGGTACAATCAGGTGAGTCGTGGACTAAAGTCCAACGCATTCGGCCCAGCAGGCGTGAACCTGCGATAGCACGTGCCGCCTGCGGCTGTCGCGTAAACACGGTCCGCGTGAACTCCAGCACGAAGAATGTCGCGCAGACACTCGGATGTATGTGCTGGGTGGTTCATCACCGTGGCCTCTTGCTGGTAGGGCCACTTGCGATTAGTCGCCGCCCTGTGTACATCCGGGACAACAAGACCTGTCGCAATCATGCTGGTCGCTTGTGGACACTCTGCGTTGGGAAAAAGCTCTGTTCTTGCGTCGCAGGCGGGGGGCTCGCCGCATTGGCGCCTCAGGTGGAGGGTCAAAATTGCACCTCAAAAAAGAAATCCCCGAATGGGACAACAGGGACAAGGAAGCCCCCCGGTTGACCCATCAGCTTACGTTTCGCACGCTGCTTTTCAGCGGGCGGTGGCGCAAGCCGCGTGGGCGGACCGCCATCATGCCTTTCAGTGCTTCTCTGACCGTCGCGCCCAGAATCCAGGGCTGGCGGAGCGCTTCCTTTCTGAGTGCTTCCGGTCCCAGAATCCCTTTCAGATTGCTCTCGTCGACCCACCCGGTCGACGGGCGCTCCCTTGATGTTGAGGAATCGCTCGCGCTCTTGCAGTTTGACTTGACAGGCCGAGTGCAGAACGACTTCGAATTCGATGCGGCGGCGCAGCAAGCCCAGGCCCGCGCGGTCTCGGCCATAAGGTCGATGGGCGGGGGGCCGGTGCACGCGCACATTGGTCCGTACTCTGTCGAAGAGGTGGACGCGGTGTTAGACAGTTTAAAAACGACATCTGCCGCGGTCCGCGGCTGCATCGTAGCTGTCCGGCCACCGGTCCCTGAGGGCCGCCGGGTCACGCGTGCCCTCGCAAATCTTTCCAGGCACTGCGCGCTCACGAGCACCCTGTGGTCGATTCGCCAGGCCACGCCTCTCCATAAGTCGGGGTCCCGCGTTGTTCGGTCAACGATATGTCTCCGGCCGGTTTCTATCTCGGTGGTCATGACATCCGTTGTGGATGGGCTGTGGAACCTGCGCAACGCTCTTTCGCTTGAGAAGTACTGCGGGGTTGCGCAGCAGGGCGGCGTTGGGGACCCTATCTCCCTCCTTCTTCCCCTTCTCCTCCACGCTCAACTCCGTAGCGCCCAAGGTCTCCCCATTTATCGGGCAGTTACGGAGCTCCAGTGGGCTTGTGATGTGGCGCCTCATCTCGCTATGCTGTTCAAAGCCTACAAGGCGGGGGTGCGTGGTGACGACTGGCTCCGGCTTGCTGATTTCATGTCGTCTGGCGCGCAATACATCGCGCTCCGTGGCCACGTGTCGTCAATATTTTTCCTCGGTGGTGGAACAGCCCAGGGGCGTAGATTCAGTGTTGGCGTTTTCAACTCGCAGCTCAAGTGGCTGGCTGAAGAAGTATATTGTGTACTGCCAGGAAGCTGTGC